GGAAGAGGCAAAATATGCTGGAAAGATGATATTTGGTATGAAGGAGATTTTGTCGGCAATATTCGGCATGGTAAAGGAATATACGTAAACTCTCGCAAACAGTCTTCTTACTGCGGAAACTGGCACCTTGGAACTAAACATGGAAAAGGGGTAATTTACTACGACGGAACATTCAAAAATAATTACGACGGAGATTGGGTCCAGGTAATTATCCTTGCTTATGTAGTAACTAAAATAATAATAATACTACCTACGTAAGTAGTAACCCTAAACTTTCAAGGTAATTAGCACAGATAATACTTAAGTACTTATTTATTTAATCATCGAAGTCGCAATTTTGAACATTACTTAAGGCAACACTTTCAAAACAACAAATTACAAAATATCGGTAGGTGTAACGCTAGCGTTAATTAGTGAAAGTTGATGTGGTACATACAGGTGTATTTTCCTTTTGAAAGTTGAATTAGATCTATCGTGTACTTAGTACCTACTTAAATATTTTGCCAACCAAAACGTTTGAATAAATACCATGAGTAAGGTTAAATATTGAATTCAATATTTATTTTGCATTTTCTATTCAGCTTGACTAAATTAAGAAGAATATAAGAATTGCACATGTAGATATTTTGATGTGAACAATTAAAATTCCCTGGCTAGAAGGACACTTCTTTAATTATTGTGTTTTAGCGAAGCTAGATGTGTTTCTTAGTTACTCTACGCAACCCTGTTAGGTACTGTAAACGTGTAAATCCTGTAAATACACGTGTGCGAATCACATCAAGTTTGGTACAATTTTCTATAAATATGTAACTCAAAAGTTTCAAAAAAGCTCCTTTCAAACATTGCGCAGAATGTGCGTCATGGCTACGGATCTCGAGAATATTGCGCAATCAGCGGGTACGAGGGCGATTGGGATCGATACGTCCGAGATGGCAAAGGGCTGATGATTTGGGCCAACCACGATGTAAGTTTCCAGTAGAATGCTCTGCAACATCACATTATATACGTGGGGGCACTATAAGTTTCCGGAATAAATAAGAAAAAAAACTATAAATAGTCAGAAGTGGATTTATTGTTTCTCAAAATATTCTCCGTTAGCGTTAGTGCACTTTTTCATACGAATGAACCAATTCTGAAAACATTTATGCCACTCCTCCGTGACAATCTCTGTAACATATTTTTCATACTCTTGGACAGCCTCTTCAGGTGATGAAAATCGTTGACCCTGTAATAGTTTCTTAATTTTTGGAAATAAATAAATATCACAAGGTGTCATGTCGGGACTGTACGCGGGATGGCTCATAAGGTCAACGTTGTTCACCTTCAAAAATTCATTTGTCTGTCTGGCCATGTGAGAACTGGCATTATCATGGTGCAAGATGATACGGCGTTTACGTTTATTTTTACGGAGTTTGTCAATAACTTCCGGCAAACAAATGGTCGTGTACCAATCACTATTCACGGTACAACGATTCTCCAAAGCAACAGTAGCCAGTTTTATTTAAAAAAGATGCAATCATCCGCTTAGAGGCACTTTGCACGCGCGCCACTTTGGTTGGTTTCGGCTCATCTGGAAAGACCCATACGCTCGATTGCTGCTTTGTTTTGGTATCGTAACTATAAGTCCATGTTTTGTCACCTGTTACTATTTCCCACACCAAATTGACGCCCCTTCGTTGAACCTGGCAAGCATGGCATTGCACCAAGTGACGCGATCCGTTTTTTGAGCCTCAGTCAAATTGTATGGGATCCACGGAGAGCACAGTTTTTTCACACCCAAATGTAGTATTGATATATAAAGATGCTCGAATCCCATGGTATGTCACATGCCTGTCTGTTTTGATCATACGGCGCACAGCATCGATGTTTTTGTTGTTCACAGCAGTGGACGGGCGACCATCACGAAATTCGTCACTGAGATTCACACGACCGCGTTTGAATTCTGCAAACTAGCTATAAATAGTCGTCTTGCATGGTGTTTCATCGCCAAAAGCAGTTTGAAGCCGAGCGAAGCTCCGCTGAGCTGTTAAATTACATTTAAAGTCGTAGAAAATCATACTATGCAAAATTTTTACGAGTTAAATCCATGGTATTGTAGACAACCAATTTCTAAAATGACGCCACAATGTAAAAACAAGTGACAGTCAGATGAAACAAACTGTATTCTACAGCCAAAGAGTTCAGATTTTCAAATGTTGTAATTACTTTTTAAACATTGTGTAAGTGGCCAGTTCCGGAAACTTATAGTGCGCCCTCCTATAACTGCTTACGTGGCCAAACGGTTATCATGCCGGACTGCCACGCGGAGGTCCTGGGTTCGGTTCCCGGGCCGGGAGAAAAAGATTTGTATGGCCTGCATTTGTTTCTCTCGTGAGTTTGGGTGTAATTTGTGTTGTCTGTGTGTGTGTCCATGGCACCCGCGATGCAGGGTTTCCCTAATGCGGGGCTATGTTGAGTGTGTATTCTCTGTGTGATATGGAGGTTTTCTTGAAACGGCAAATAAAAATCAGGTAAGTAGAACGTTACTTGAGGTATTTGATGTAATACATAGCAACCAAACGACTTCTAATGTTATTTTTCTAGTATTACGAAGGCGATTGGTCAAATGGTCTTATGTCGGGACGTGGTACTTACATTTGGAATGCACAATGCAACAATACCTTGGCATTACCAGTTATTTCTGTCTACCGAGGTGATTTTGAAAAGGGGAATCGAAGCGGCAAAGGCGCGATAAGTTTTGGTGTAGATTGGGGTGCGCATTACGAAGGATTTTTTAAAAATAACAAGAAACATGGAATGGGTAAAGTAGTCACCAATAATGGGTTGATAATTGAAAACGATAAACTTTTCCGCTCCGATATTATTCAACCAATGCATGATGAGGAACATAAACTTGGAGAAAGGTTGTTCGACTCATTGCACTTTAACATTTGTGACGGAGATGTTGGACTGAGATACCATGTTGAGAAAGCTTATGAAAATTTGGACAGAGAGGCTGAAACCAAAGCATGTATAGTGAATGAATATATCAAAAACAACAGATATGTAGAAATTGATGTTTCACCAAAAGAGGTGGCATTGAAAGAGGTGATTTTTATAGATTCGCAATATAACCGAGAGACTTTTGATTTTGAACAAAGAGTTCTGCACAACGCAGTGAGAGTCTACCAACCGTATTTAGTCAGGATTTATTACAAGTACTGCGTGATATGTAACGATGAACCTGTTTCATTTACCCCTCAACTTATAAGATTGTTCATTTGGAAGTTTTACTGGGATTGTAACTTAAACGCTAAAGGACTGACGCTTGTTGAGATAGATAACATACTTCATTCTAACCCAGACTGGTGCTGTAAGTCACCACATCATCCTTTTCAGAAGATATTTTTCTGGCAATTTATACATACCTTAATAGCAATTGCTTACAAATTGTACCCTAGAAAAGCATTACCAGGACCAAGGCCAGATACATTAGTAGCAACCGCGTTTAGAAAATTTATGGAAGAAGATGTTTTGCCAGGATGTAATAAGCCACGATTGGGTAAGCAGGTGTTCGAAACATCTTACTATAGTTTCATGCAAGTCATATGTCCAGGTTTGCTAAAGATTAAATTTTTTCAGGGCGTTTCACTCAAAGTTTCGCCTCATACATTCCATTGAAACCTTTATACGGGTTGTACCTTTCGCTGGGAGAGCCTCATACGGTGCGTCAATTCATCTGTGCTGTTCATCGCCCATTTCATGCAGAATCGCCCTTGGACATTATGGACGGACCTGAAGACATTAGTCTTGGGAGCAACGTCTATATTTTCGGAGACCGTATCAGCTTTGTCATGGGTGAGTAAAACTTATAAAGTACATTTACCTTCTTACCCAAAGCCTTCAATGCCATAAAACGACTCAAGTCGAATTTCCTTCGTATTCCGACTAGCGTCGCGAGAAATTAGCAAATTTTTTTTTAATAACTAAATGTGTTGAGATTTCATTTCTTACCTAACTGAGTACTTATTAAATATAACTGAACTATCAAAAGTTTCCCGAGCCACTGTTCGAAGATGTATATATACATGTATACATTTATATTTATGTAATTATTAATTTGTTTAATTGTGTAAATCACAAATTAGTATTCATATATTTCAGATGAAATATTACCATTTCAAAAATATACGGCGTACCGTGAAAAAGACGAGAAACCACAATTAAAAGACAAACACTTATTACTTTTCAATTTCTCAAATCTTTCTACTTCGACATTGTTAAAGATATTCGCAAATATATTTCCTCAGCTGCTGTGTCAGGGGAAGATTTTGACTTTAGACATAGAAATGACGTTCTTCGAATTTTTTGAGGCGTTTGTGGCTTGTGCTGAAGAGAGCATCCGTTTGAAGGAAGTGGAGATGCACTGGAGGCAAATGTTTGCACGTACTGATTAGAAACAGAGATTATGCTTAATCTATATATCCGCTCCTTCAGCTCCATCTGATGCCTTTTACACGTATACTTATTTTCTAAAGTATTTTGGAGTTTATTTCTTTTGTTTACGTTTGTTCGAAGTAACTAATAAATTATTTAAATCATAAAATACTGACTTTGAATTATGTAACCATAATTGTCGCCAAGTAATTATGAGTTTCGCCTCATGAATAAATGATATGACACTAATAATGTTATGAATTATATGAATTATAACAAAAAACGAAAAAGATATTAAAAAACTCCATCGGATTTTTGGTTGGAATTTTAAAATTCTTTATAATAAATAGGTTTTTATTTAAATTATGTTTACCCAGTTAGTTTACGTATTTGAAAATATCTGAATAATCGAGCGATATCTTATATGAATGAGTATATTTAAGATCATTGTACGTACTAAATGAAATCTATAAAAATAATGTCTGACTAAACCAATGGAAAATCACAACTAGGCTACGTCAGTCGTAGCAAGTGCTACGTCGCTACGAAATTCATTAGGAAACGATACCGTTTCTGTTAAATGTTAAAAACATACCGTTTCTGTTAAATGTTTTTAACATTCACAGAAACGGTATCGTTTTCGATCGTTTTGTTTTAATACTAGTTCGTGTCCGCAACTTCGTCTGCGGAAAATAAGATTGTAGTATACTAATTTTCATAGTTTTATTGTTCTTCATACAAACTTTCATTTCCCCATTTCAATATTTATTTTTGTGATAAAACTTATTCTATGTCTTTCTCCTAGGTCCCATCTATCACTATACCAAAATTCATTAATATTGGTTCAGCAATTTAGTTTTGAAAATGCAGCAGACAGAGTTACTGTCGTATTTATAGTATTCGTTTGGAAGTTTTGATATACTGCAAATAAAGAACTTGAATTGTAATAACGATAATATGAACTACTACTGGCCACATATACTTGAACGTTTAATCGAAATTAAGAGACGATTTAAGTTTTTTTTTTCAAATAAAACCTTTGTACATATTTACTTTAAGTCTTTGAACAGATATGCTGCCGTGGGAACGAAAAAGGGTACAACTAGCAAATTCTAAATTCGGAGATGAACTTAAAGTTTTTCTTCGTTTTTTTTGACAAAAGAGATAGTTAAAATTTATTTTTGATATTAAGTAGTTAAGTAAAAGTAAATATACGTAAATACAAATTTAGTACAGAATTTTTTATTATATTTCAATTAGCCGTTTTAACTTAATTTTCCCTAAGAACTCGATTAATTTTCCCTTTTAATTTAATAGAAAAAATACGTATAGAATATTATTATAGCGTAGTAATGGGTGACTTTTTTATTTTTTTCTTACCAAATTTTTTCTACGCATTAGGTATCATTCAAAGACCCCATTTTCGGAAAAAAATTGGTGGGTCAAATTTTCACATTAAAATTATTTATCCAAAATAATAATCGATAATGTTTGGTTACAGTCAACACTCATGGTAGTAAGGCTAATGAATTGAAATACAAACCCCGATTCACCCGGGGAGTGAATTCCGCGCGGCGCAACTGCATTCATTTTCAATCGCTAGCGCACGTTCGTCTCGAACAGACGTCACGCTCGCGCGTCCTCTCTTTCTTCTTCCGTCTCACGTGTTTAATGTACCTACTCAAACCGCGAATGCTACGAAATGGTGAGGAGTTACTTTTTAAGTGGTGAAGTCTACGGAGAGCCCAGAGACTATTCCGAGTAGAAAGTGTTCCACGCCTTCGCAATCTGGGAGTTGAAAGCGCAAGGACACCCAATTTTCAAACGATGTTAAATGTCATGCAACGACTAGGCTATGCCCAATTTAAAACACCTTCACACGCTCAACATCAGGTAACTGGTCCATCCTAGACTTATATTTGGTTTATAACGGATTACATTCCAAAAGAAAAGCACAAGCCTGTCCTTGCCAGGTCCTGTTAAGTTCGTAAAAGCGTGATGGGAACATTTGTAACTTATAGTCGCCTCACTTTCTCAAACTCGATATCTTAATGCTTCAAGTTACTGAAATTCAAAAAATGGATTGTATCTGTATGTACAAATTTTGCATGCTGATTTCACATCACATTTCCTGGCATTTACCTATTCTTAATGTAATGCATCCAAATTAACATCCTCTATAAAAAGTTTAAAATTAATAGAAGAAATTTTGCCATCTCCCAAATAATCACTCTTTATAAGATACGCGTTTAAGAAGGTAAGACATCGTTATGTTTCTTATCAACAACGGTATGCGGTGGCGGGTGGTGCAGACAGGACTACTTATTACTTATAATTACGCGAAATCAAAATAAGAAACCAGTAAACCCGTGAAATGTCAGTTGGAGCGACGGGTCAACTCAAGTAAAGGGCATCATAGGTTATTAGGTGAATGGCGGTGTATACGAAAACCTTTTCAAATTTATTTATTTATTTCAAATGCAAGTCATAACAATACACGTTCCATTAGGTTAGTACTTATTGCTATGACACCCCTCAGGAGTATGGCACTTAGTCGCCACATTTTGGCTTACATTATTGTTCACACATTACAAAATATAATAACATTACAAAATATAATAATAATATAATAATAAAAATACAATTCAGATTAAAATAACACCAATTATCCCTCATCAGCCTTCGTCAAATACATAAAACAACATAATTTAACCAAAAACTAAAAAGTTTGTCAATATAAAATTCATTTAAGTTATATAATTTTTTAGTGAAATTTTTGTAATTTGTCTCACATCTTAGGTATTTGGGTAGTTTATTGTGAATCTTTATCACATTAGAATACGGACTATTCTGATAGATGCTTAATGTACTTCGCGGAAGGCTAAATATATTCTTATATCTAGACGGTCTTATAGAAGTAGGTACAGCACTAATGAATAGTTCACTATTTTTTCTAATAAATTTAGCCATTTCAAATATGTACATAGAAGGTAGGGTTAATATTTGTAATTTTTTTAAATGTGGTCGACAAGATTCCATCTGTTTGATATTCGTGATGATACGTACACACTTTTTTTTGTAGAATAAAGAGATCATTCACTTGGGTACTGTTTTCCCATAGCATCAAGCTGTAATTTAACCATGCAAACGCATACCCGTAATAGGCTGATAAAGCTGTTTTTAAATTTGTGACAGGTTTTAATTCGTGTAAAGCGTAGGTGAATTGAGACATTTTCATCTTAATTTTTTGTACATGTGATTTCCAATCAATATGTGAGTCAATTTCTATTCCCAGGAAACTACTTGTTACTACAAGTAGTTTCCTAGGAATTTTCTTTCTCTAAATTTTTACCGTTTACACATAAATTTAATCCTAAGTCTGACTTTTGTCGTGGTCTAAATTCTATAATTTTCGTCTTATTATAATTTATTTCTAAGTTGTGTTTGCTAAGCTAGTTCGTTACGTTTTTAAATGTTTGTTCAAAGTGTATCTGGAAGTTTTTGTTTTGAAAATAAGGGAGATATCGTCTGCAAATAAAGTACATAGTGTGTGTATCTGTTTAGGTAAGTCATTTATGTATAATATAAATACAATACATCCCAGTACACTACCCTGGGGAATTGAGGAGTTTATACAAACTTTGACCTATATGTATTTGTTTCCCCCGTATTCCTGTTTTGACTCTCAATTTGTACGTACTGTATTCTATTTTTTAAGTAGGAGTATAACCATTTAAAGGCATCTCTAATACCACTGTCATAAAGTTTTTTCAGAAGAATATCATAGGAAACTTTATCATTAGTCTTTGTCATATCAATTAAAATTCCTACTGCATAATCCTTTTTATTAATATATGTAAGTGCCTCTTGTATGTATTTATACGCAGCCAATGTGGTCGAATTGTTTTTTCTAAATGCATGTTGGTTTAGGTCTAGTACATCATATTTTTCGTAAAATTGATGTAATCTATTAAACATAGCTCTTTCGAAAATTTTTGAAATAACCGTTAAAAGCGCTATGGGGCGGTACATACTAGGGCCGGTTTTATCGCCTTTTTTATGTATAGGTTTAATTATAGAAATCTTTAATAAGTCTGGGGATGTGGCTTCCGTAAATGATTGGTTAATTAATGTCGTCAGAGGATAACATAGTTCGTTTGCGCGTTTTTTTATTAATACTGCGGGTATTTCGTCAATTCCGTGGCTTTGCTTATTTTTTAAAAAAACGTATGAGCCCAAAAACTTCACGTTCATCAACTGGTCGTAGGTAAATGCTATTTACATTGGATGAGCTATGAAATATGTGTTCTGAGTCCAATGTGTGTTGGTGTGAGATTGTGCTAATAAAAGTTTTCTTGTTTTGTTCTAGCGTAGCGAAAAAAATATTGAATTTATTTGCCACTTCTATAGGGGAGTCAACAATTTTGCCTTTTATATTTAAGGTAATATTGTCATGTTGTTTTTTATTTCAATTGTTTGTTTTACTTTTTATTATTTTCTACATGGTCTTTGTTTTATTTTCCGATTTTTACATTTGTTTCATGTTGTATAGTTTTTTCGATAAGCTAATTAATATTTTTGAAATTTTAGTATATTTTTTAAAATATGTTTTTAGAGTAGCATTACATATTTGTGTAATTTATTAATGCACGTAATATTCTTTTATGCTTACATGAATTTTTGAGACCTTTTGTTAACCAATAAATTTTATTATTCTGCGGTTTTATTCTTATGGTTTTCAGAGGTACATATGTGCAAAGCAGGTTATGAAGAATGTTACTGAACATTTTATAATTTGTATTTATGTCATTTTGTTCCGTAAAGAGTGCGTGCCAGTCAATTTCTTGTAGTTTTTGCTTAAACATATTAATATTGTGATTAGAAAATATTCGTTTAGTTTTCATGTTTATGTTTTGTTCTTGATTAATATTTGAGTTTATTTTTAGAATAATTCCTTTATGGTCTGATAGTCCTAAGTCCTTCACTTCTGTGGTAAAGTCTTTAACATTCACAAAAATTAAATCTATGCATGTGCTTGTGTTCTTTGT